TACTCTAGATATAAACTCTGCATAAGTAACAATTTAATTAGTATATATGTATATGTCAAAAACATATTTAAACTTCACCTGCTGTGTACCAGTATATCACAATCCTAATTGTTCATTAAAACACATAAAGACACATCTTTGAAAAGGTATGGCTTTTAATAGACTAATACTCAAAAATCTGAATTCGGGTAAATTGAAAATGGTTTGATAATAAAAATTAAACTCCGATTCCGAATCGAACAATAAAATTATTTGTAATAAGCATTAATGTGGACGAAATGATTTAAATAACAAATTCACTCGAACAATGTGTATTTGGCAGCAGAACCTTCTATCTCTAACTTAAAAGCATTTATAAACCAATATGTTTGTCTGTTTATTCACAATATTCTTTCAAGATAAACTCAATCTACGCATTGACCTGGAATACCTTGTGCGACTTATAACTTCGTACCTGTTCTCACTTCCTTATGCACTTTAAAATAATTTCTTTGGATTATCTTATAATTTTGATGAATTTCTGCAACAACAAACGTTTCATTTCGACATTCTGGCACGGCTTATTTTATATTTACTTAAGACACGCAACAATTCTTTAATCGCTCGATTTCTACCTTTTCATATGGTTTCGACCTCGCAACCAAATGGCTTTACATTCCATAACTCAAACCTATAGACAGTGTTTTGATATGTAAGGCCGATGAAAATTCTTTTTTTAAAATAAAATAAGACATCGTCAAATACCAACCAAGTCAGACTACGTTGGTTTTCGGGACCTAGCTAAAAAAAACTGGTTTACGCGGCGTTAAGTCGGCTCTGCGTTTCGTCACTACTGTCACATGGCCGACGCGAGTGTTTTTACTGAAATAAAGGCACAAAGCGTTAGAAAAGGGGTTTGAATTTCGGGATACCAATCCCATCTAAAAAAAAAACTCAAAAACGTTACTCCATTAGATACAAATATACGCTAAAGTTGTTCTGTGAGCCGCACGGAATGTATCAGCATGACAGAGTTTGGACCACCCTGGTCTACCTTATCAAGAAACTCCCGACTTTGCTGACCAATATATCGTTGAAATGCGATCGTGAAACCGCCACATAGTGTAAATAGTTCATTGGTCCAATTGTTGAAGAGAATAGAAATTTTTTCAAAATAAAAATGCAGCAACAAGGTAAATACTAGAAAGAAAAAACCACAACATTTTGAGAAAACGACTCATAGGCTCATTTCGTGTCCAATAAATAAGTTTCAGTGTTTCTTTTTAGTAAAGAAGGTTAATATGATACTTGAAGACAAAAAATAGGCGAACATTTTGAAGTTTGAGTCGTCTGTTGAACTCGTAATATTTTAATAAATACCGATAAACTATATAAAATTCTGCTCTAAAATTTCTGTGATGCCTCTCTTTGCTTGGTGCCCTAAGCACGTGCTTATATTGTTTAATGGTTAATCCGGCGCTGGAGAAATGTGATGGCTGAAAACCTTATTTGAAAAAATTTTTTTTGGCTATTGGCAATAATCTGTCCACGAAATAATCAAATTAACATTTGGTGGAATATATGAAGCATAAAACTGCCGGTGAGTTATTAAAAAAAAACTCCATTAGGCCCCAATCTATGATGTCTATGATGTCCAAATTATGCTTGGACAGTGTTCAGTAATGAAACAATAAAATCTTAATATTTGAATATTCAACGTCTTTCGAAACTGTGTATTTGAGTACATCTATGACGCAATAAAGTAATGTGGATAGGCGACATAGATAGGATTCGAGAACACAGCAAGCTAAGAACAAGAGTGTGGACCTAAGAAACATTACTTTGAAAACAACACATCGATTGAGTGTTACCGATTCCTTGGATATAACAAATACGAAGATTCGGTCTCATCGTGTATTGTTCTACTTTATTGGATCTCCGCTTCTAGGAGACCCTTATTATCAGTTGTTCTGTCTGTCTGTCTGTCTGTCTGTCTGTCTGTCTGTCTGTCTGTCTGTCTGTCTGTCTGTCTGTTTAGATGTAGCGTCTTAACGGCTGGACCAATCTGGATGAAGTTTTTCACATGGGTTATCCAGCTACCCTAGTATTGTGCGTTTTATGGAAAGTCCGGATGGAGGTTTCGTTTCCATGGAAACAACGAAAAACACGCCGATCGTTATAAAATTTCAATTTATTTCACAATTTCTCGCCGTTTTCCCGCCAACCAAGTCGAAAATTAAAATTCCAAGAACGCTACCATCCGCATAGCTTCCAATAAGTTATCTTTGCTCTCGATACTCCATAAACTGGATGAGCCTCAGGGATTTTAGTGAAGATTATTTTCTAATTTTCAACCACAATATACTAGTCACGCAAGTAAGACTACGTAACGCGCAGCGTTTGAAATGAACTGGTGTGTTAGTAGTGTCTCCTATTATCCGTTAGTAAACTGAAATGATGCGGGCCTCAAGCAATGCAGAGGTCCAACTACCGGCTTGTACTCATTACGAATCAAAAGCCCGCCAATTACAGTTTTTGTAGTCGGTAACAATTATATTTCAATATTAAAATGGTTCAACATTAAAATATTATCTAGAAATACTATAGGCCCACTAAAAGGTTAAAGCTTATTCCTACAAAAAATATAGGTGTTTCTATAAATAAAGGATACACCCGAAGTATGTGAACCGAGATGGCGGACACCGGAACGTAGTATATGTACCAGTTTAGGGTCAGACCATAATTTCAGAGACAATTACTACGGGAGTCACTTGGTTAGTCCCCAAACTCTCAATGCAACTAAAATAAGAAAAAAATTGGTGTAAAATTATTGCCTAAAAACCCTAACTAGGTACACATATTACGTTCCGGTGTCCGCCATCTTGGTTCACATACTTCGGGAGTACCGAGTACCCTCGATTACATAGGTATTTTCTACAAGCGAGATAACTGGTACGACAATAATTGCACAATCATGCCTGGCATCTTGCCCCAAACAGTCATTACAAATATTAATACCAATAGGAAATTTCAAATTTATGGTGCATTATTATTTTGTTTGAATGATGACATAATTTCTGGGATGCACACTTCGGAGAAGTTTGTTGAGTACTGGAAGTAGTAAACTGCGGTCCAAGGCTCATTTCTTATTTGGAAATCTTATCGATAATTATTGTGATTATTTTTCCTTTATCCATTCTTCATTGCGATATATTAGACAGAATTGTTGGCCATGTGATTCGTGACTCTATTTTCAACATTGAGAATGCTAGATCGAGTTTGATAAATGGTGAACTTTAAATAACCTATTTGAAGCATTTCAATTTTAAAACCAAACTTTTAAAAAAATGCAACATTTGCAGATCTTTTTTGTCATGTTCTCGAACAGGGGTCGATATAATGAAGCATAATATATATTTGTTCAGTCGTAATTTGAGATAAAAAAAAAATTATGTTGGCATGACTGTGTTTTGGATAATACGAATACATCACAATATTTATAAAAGCCAATCATTTATCCCCAAGAATTAACAAAGTAAGAGAACATTACCTTACATCAAATGGACTAATATCGAACCTTACTCGTTTCTATTTTTAAACAATAATGTATGTCAGTCTTCCGAATTAAGATAATAGATTTTGCGCTGTGGTTCGTCGCTTCCTACATGTGAACTAATATATTCCTATTTTAAGGTTGTTTGAATATGAATCCGGATTGAAGATTGAAGATGGCAAAAACTAGCTACGCTAAAAGGTTATTTGGTATACTTTTCTTCCGTGACATGCTGACATGTGAGATTATTCAAATTCAACCATTCAAAGTGAATGCATACCTGGTGGTGTAATATATATAGCCAAAGTCTAAAATATTCCAATCGAAATATTCATATATATATATTCATTCTTCTAACTGAAAAATATAGATTTACAAAAAAATAAAATAAAAAAAATTACGAGAGAACGATTGTAAGGACATAACGGAAGAAAGACTTTTTGAAATATTACATTGCTACTCGTCAAAAGACGTATTCAAATTCAGTAAACATTTACTTGGAAATGTCCCAAAAGGCGGTAAGCTGGACATAATTTTGACCATACGAGATCGAATTGCAAAAGACCACGAAGACTTTAAAAAAGCTTTTTCCAAGCTTCGGGGCTGTTCTGGTGGCTGGGTTTCTTGTACTTGTGCTTATGAAGTTGTTTATGCTCTTAAATTTGTTATGCGAACCGAAAGTCCTCGCGACTTTGTTGATATGCTTTTGTCATTCAAATATTAACCGAATATTGTGATAATTGATATGGCAAATATGGTCGTTGCGCATTGTAACAAACGAAAAGGGTTTATGTTTTCACCACATGATGGAATGCTATGAGAACCAACTCAAGAAAACATAAAAGCTGCCGAAGATAAACGTCTTTCTATCTCAATGCCTTGGATTTTTGAAACAAGTGCAAAAAAGAGCAATATACCAAAGGCGTGCACCCTGTTAGTGGTAAATCTCTGTATATGTGTTTATATGACAGACTGCACAAAAAAATGTAACTAAGAAGAAAGAAATATTACGTAGAATAACGTTCGTCCCGGAACTGAATGGTTTCCTCAATACACAAGTTGTGGAGCAATTAAATGCGATATTTAATAAGGATAATAGATTTTTAAATCAAATGGAGCCGGTGAATCATATTTACCTGTTTCGTTCGATAATTGATAACCATAATCATTTGACAAATATGAAATTGGCCAGCAGCTTGAAAAAACACAGCAAGATTGATTTACATGTGGATAGTCTGGGTAGATGGTATCTCCAGACTGCCGATACATGTGAAAGCCGTCAACTGAAATCGAAAAAGATGACACGTGCCCATTTAAAAATGATTACATTACATCAACTCAAGCTGGAATTGAGCAAAAATTGCAGAGTGACGGGAAAAAAATTTCGACTGAAGCCAAAGAGGAAAGAATATTACAAAATGTATGTAGATCGAATACCGCAAATTTGACACAATCTATGGATAACACAATGGAAGATTTTTCGTTGCCACAAGATAAAATTGACCTATTTAGCGACATATATTTGAACGTTGCAGTGGGAAAACAACTTTCACGGGAGAAGACAAACAGTGTATTCGATGTGTCTCCAACCGAGCAAGAAAATCACAAAGTTAAAAACAACACAAGAATGTACTCAACAAACGACGATAGTCGTTTCGGTGAAACTAAACAAATAGAAAGACCAACTGAAAAACATTTATTAGATTTTATCAATAACGGATTTGACCGCACAAAATTAGATAAACCCTCAGAGGATTCTCTGTTGGAAAAAAATCCATTTCTTAGTAACCATTGGTTGGAATGTCTTCATTTAGATTTGATTGACCAACAAATTATACGGGATAAATTATTTTTAAATGATAGAATTATAAATGCAGCAATGGTGTTAATGAAAATAAAATATCGTCATTTATCCGGACTGAAAGATGTAATAATATCGACAGTGGAAGAATTCCCGATAAAATCCTGTAATACATTTGTTCAAATAATAAACATCAGAAAAAATTACTGGATAACTATTTCAGACCAGTTTTCTGAAAAAAAATCATGCACCAGTGTATGACAGTCTTTTATCGAGTAATTATACTGAAATCGTGCAAACAGCAGTTTGTCAGCTCAGTGGGACCAATAGTGACAACATCACAATTGAAGTGATGGCTGTTCAACAGTAGCGAGCAAATGAATGTGGGTATTTCGCTATAGCCAACGGCCTAGCGATTTGCAAAAATATGGATCCCTGTTTACTGACGTATAGCAATAAATTCAATGAAGAGCTCAAAATGGCATTTATTTAAAATGATATTGACGTTTTTTGAAGTCACATTAAACCTGAAATACATTCTACCCGGGTACCCAAAACATGCCTTCGGTGGACTTACAAAGTGGATGCCTTGTGATGGATCTGAAACATTGCAGTGCATAGTGTGTGAGAAAATGTTTCATAAAAAATGCGAAACTGACGAATTACGGAACCAGAACTGGAAATGTCGGAATTGCCGTACTTATTCAGTTGAAGATTCACAAAAAAATGGAGGAATTGAAAACTTGGCAAGATGCCATATCATCCCACCAGGAGACACCGATGGTAGTGTCGATCTACAATAGCATCCGTGACCTATTTCCATATACAACCTTGCCCACTGGTGGCACCGAAATTGGATGTGTTTTCAATGAAACATATTGCAAATTAAGCGGCAACACATCCAAAATGTAGACGGGCGTTACGTATAAAATCGACCAAGACAAATTCATAATTTTAATTTTGGAGTCGGAAAAGCTTGATATTTCAGTAATCTTTCACACGATTATGCATGAAATGGCCCATGTTATGGTGCCGGTAAAAATAGCCAGCCAAGCACATGCAAAAGAATTCAAAAAATATGGGAGAATCATTCTAAGGAATGTTAAATTAAATCGAAAAATGTTACCCGAGCAGAGGCAGTGTTTTCCAATAATTGACAAGTCGGTTCTTAATAAGTCAGTATGATGGGATATTTAATATTTTCTCATGTAATGAAAATACCTTTCCCCGAAATCAAGTTGAAAGTACAAGCCAATAATTAAATTGTGTATTTATACAATCTTGCCGTCATTTATTTCGTAGAATATAATGTTGTGTCATTTCAATGATCTAAAATAATATCTTATTTCTTTACAACAGGAGTTTTCAAATGGTGCGACACGGCGCACTGACGAGTCATTTTAATTTTGCGTCGCACAAATATTTAATTGGCAAGTCATACTCTACTGACTGTAGGTATGCATATTTGAATAAACTATTACATACCTGTAGTCAATAATTACCAATAAAATTAAACCACAATGTTACTTTCTGAGTTCACTGTAAGATTAGTTCAATTTAGTAAATCTGAAAATTTTGTGAATTTTATTGAATAACGAATATTCAGCTTGTACTAAAAACGATACAAATGGTTTATCCAAGAGCTATATCATAACATTGCTAAGTCCTCACGTCTCATAAAACTAACCAAACTTGATTTTCAGTGTTTCTATCATTTTGTTTTCAAATATTTTCTCACTAGTGCGTCGCATGCGAGGAGAGTTTTTACAAAGGCGTCTTATCACAAAAATTTAAGAACCACTGCTTTACGACATCTAAATTACTACGCTTTTTATTTGCCAGGATTGTTGTATATACTATATATAACTTATTTCAGCATTACTACCGTTTCATTCTCATGTCAATGGCATTTCCATATTTTTCTGTTTTTTGCATATAATAAATGACAGCTTAATGATAGCTTAACATTAATTTTTTAATTTAATTTCTTTCTTAACAACATACACCGGCAACTTTATGTTCTATTATGCACAGGCAAAATGTAAAGGATTACCGGTGAATGATGTTCATATCATTATTATATCAACTTTACGCTAGTTGCAAGTCATTTTTTATATTTCAATCAATAGCCGTTATGGAGTTTCTGTAAGCGTAATCACACTACTCCAATGTGTCAACAAGTATGATCTCATCCTATAAACATAATCTTGCGATGCTTTCTCGAATAATCAATATGTAATGTTAGTAATGATAGTTTGCACCAAACTTTAATTTGATCAATTCGTTGACAAAATAACCAAAGAAAACCAAATAAAAAAAATCGAATAACCAAAAGAGATTTTCAATGTCGTCGTTGACAGCGACACATTTCGCAGGGTATCACAATCAGCTGTTGTGGGGCTTTATCTTATGGCATTATGGATTGCAACCTATTGTATGTATTCATGCTGACATTGTAAGCTTCGAACAAATAACATACAGAGACTTACTTGTCACTAGAGACTAAATGATGCTGATATCACAATATTTTATTACATATATATATTTTATACTTATTGTAAGTACTTCATCAAAAGCCGTTTTGGAGTTTCTGAGAGGTATTTTGAAAACCCTAACTCTAACACACTTATTATATCATATGTATATCTAATTGGCTGTACGTGCATATGACTTGGCACTTGGCAGTATTTGTACATCACCAAAATGGCTGTATTTGGATATTAATTGGCTGTATATGGATATGACCTTGGCTGTATATGGATATTTAGTTGGCGCTATATGTATATTTAGTTGGCGCTATATGTATATTTTTTGCTGTATATGTATATCACGTTACCAACCCCACTCTCTCAAAGCGAAAATTTTGTTTTCCATTGTATTTTAAAAAAAAAACGGATTAGGCCTAGTGAAATGAAAAAGAAATTTGTGTTTTTTTATATACTTATGATGGAATAAAGTGAGTATTGTAATTTATAATCTTTTATTTTGTAAAAAAAAATTATTTCCAAAACATGTGGACAGATCCAGTTGTTTTCTACTAGTAGTACAATCTGGCAGTATTATTAAAATGATCTTAGGGAATTGCATTCTTCGAGAATCGGAATAATCGAATTGACTGTATTCTGAAACTGTCTTAATATGAAGTGAATCACATGTTAAAGTTGGCACGTCGGAAGTGTTTCCGTAAATTTAGTTTCACGCTCGCACACGTTTAGAGCGGTGGTTCTTTATTGACATGCCCTCTGATGGAGTCTATTTATTTCGCCACTTCGCTATAGCAACAAATTCCGACCTTCTTCCTTCGAGACAGTCACATGCTCTCATATACCATGCTATTTTCATACCTACCTTGTTGTTCACAAAAGTCACAGCCTTGAAACATTAATCCCGCAAATAAGGGCAAAATTAGGTTCAAGATATTAGCCTGACTAAATATGACAAAGGGATATAATAAAATATCAATGAATATATAAAGGAGGTCTAACAGTTGTGGTCACTTTAGGACGCCTGAGTAGCACAGTGACTAGTTGACAGTATCATATATCACCACAATAAACAGAATTTGCGTGCGAACAAGCACTTGGCCGTACGGATATTTTATTATCCTGTACGTCAACGGTTACCAAAGGGCGCGCTGCAGGTCACTTGTGCTCCGCGGCGATTTGCTAAGTGCGCCCCGAAAATAACAGAATTGTGTTAAGTATAACTACTTCATGTTTGAATACTTTACATATTGTATTCAATATGAATGTTTTATTTTTATTTTTTTTTAAAGCTGTGTATATGAATCAATAATTTCATTTTACCTTTCTATGTTGTTTACTTTCTGTGACGCTGTGTCTGCATCTAGTATTACGTAACTGTAGAGGTAGACACGACTTGATGCAATTTCGCGAACTGCAGTTTATTTACATGGAGAAGGAAGAAACGATAATATTGCCTTCATTACTTTCACCTACATGTTTACAAATTTCAGAAAGTATAAGGCACACATTGACAATCGCACAATTGAATTGTATTTTGAAGACAGCATTATCTTTCGTGTAAGTGCGCCGTGGGTTCTTTCCTCGATCATTTGGCGCCGCACGAACAACAAGGTTGGTGGGCACCGCTGCTATAAGTGGTTCCTTACTTAGTAGATGGGAGAAGTGTCATATCGATAGAAGTTAGCCTTTTCTGTGTGAGACTTTGACAAGTGCCATATTACGTCTAGCCCCCGTCCTAGACATATATTTGAAATCAATTTGTATGGTCTGCGCATATATATGTTTACTTGTTTTATCATGAGGTAGGTGCCTCCAACCAATCCATATATATTTAATGGTGATTGAATTTCCGCAAGGAGTTGGAAAATATAGGGCAGGGAATATATGGTTTACAATTGCCATTTGAACGTAGACGACATGTATGATTTTAGTGCTGAGTGTACCCCTACTCCTAATTAAAAAATAATTTACCGTAAAAATAAAAATGAGGATTCTTTGTAGCAAGTTGCATTTACCTAAAGTGCCGAGGTACCGTACGAAATCAAAATGGCATTTGCACTAGCAATTTTGCACAAGACAGTGAGTTATACGTGTTTTGATTGAGTGTTAGAAGTCTCTTTTAAGTCGATTGAGAACTTACAAACCGAACTTCTTGAAATGCGTGCGCACTTGCAGATTTCATACACGAACAATCAAACGTAAACACAAAATTTGAAGCATTGACAAGTCAATTGATAAGAGATACGAAATATAACCGGGACAGTGCTATACTTTGAATCACATTCTGTTGTGATGCATAAGAAAAACCAGTTCTGCTTCGATTAATAAAAGTGTTCAGATTTAATTATAAGTTATACCTACAGTTCTTTAGTTCACGCTTAGAGTATTATAATATCAAGTATGACTCTTTATCAATATTAGTTTGGTTTGAAATATACAGCTGTAACCCAAGTATAATCAAGTTAACTCACTTAAACTACAGATAAACAAAAGTAAAATTTTGTAAAAATATCAAACAGGCTACTGGGCAATGATGCTGGTGACGATGAAAATGCTGCCGTTACTCTTAATTACATTACATTTGTCACTTACATTGTCGGTACTATGTGAAGAATGTAAACTTCCAGTCGGAAGAGAAGTGGACGTTAAAAAGGTAAAAAAAAGTTTATAGTCTAGACTAGAACATACAAATATAGTATTTTCTATTTTCAGAAGTAAGATTATTCAACTGATAAATGTTAACTTTCTCTCAAAATCTTTCAGTGCGAGGTCAGCAGTAATTTCAATAGGCCATTCCTCTAATAAATATTTTCCTCTTTTTTAAGTTGTTTAAAACTTCCTGGTATACTGGACTTCAAACAGACGACTTTACATCATCGATACTGACGTGTGTCAGATTTTCCAACTTTACGTCAACCGACTCAGGTTTTAGAGTCGTCTCAACCGAACATGGCGACAGGTAAACTTTTGTTTAGGCACTACGAATCATGGGCGTTTTGGAAATAGACGATCTAAAAATATATCTTGTGTAAATTGTAATACTCGATAATTTCGATTTTTGAAATCAACCCGAATAATTCTAATATAGCCTACATTCGGTTTAAGTAACGCCAATTCTTACCATATATGCCCACTAGTTGGAGATGGTAGTAAGGCATATAATATTTGGAGAATTAATAGAATTGGCAGTTTTTAAAGCGCTATTTTACACTTTTGCAGATACGTCGAATTCCCTATTCACTTCAACATACACAAAAATGGAATTTACCACCAAAGCAAGGCAAACGACGGTATGAAATATATTCGAATTTACATTGAATCATACACTATGTAAATTTTTACATTTAAAAAAGGGAAAAATGCTGACAATTGATATGAATTCACTGTCATTATAAAAATATTTTATTTTATTTTTGAAGAAACGACAACTCACTCTGAGCATACACGTGAGACAAACGGAAAGCATAACGCAGCAATTAGCGAAATGGGTAAGACTGCAGTAATTGATCTTTTTTCTGAATGTTTATCAAGAAAGTATGCAACTGAAATAATATTTGATTGAATCCCCACTTTGATTAATATTTAGTTGGTGTTTTATTTCAGTTATTTTTGCATACTTTCATATTAAACACAAATGAAAAATAATTAACACGGATGCCAATTAGCTTGTATCATGTCGCGGGCATAAGCTCATCCGTTGTAATATTCATTTTATGATTTCTTTTTTTACAGAAAAAAATTTTTTCACTGGAAATTTTGTGTTTCTAACGGATTACAAAAATTATTTCGCTGCGTTTTTATGTCCTACTATAATAAAATCTGACGAAGGTAAGACAATACAAAATAGGCAACCTAACAAATATGTAATAGAAAAAAAATTAATTGAAGTTTATATTATATTTGTTTTTTAACTTTGTTTTCAACTCGAATCGAAATCTAAAGACGATCGGAGAGTCTGAATTAGAAGTAGATGCCTTTAATTAACATTTTGTATATTTCATAAATACTCTCATATATGTTCAAAATCACATCTTCTTGGTCATAGAACTAGTCTTTCGTACTTAGACCAAAATTATGCGTTTTTCATACAGGGTAGAATTGCCTTTTTATTTTTCAGAACTCCGTATGATTTGGGGATTTTTCCCGAGTTCAAATCCAACTTTGAAACAAATTGCAGCATTCAGCAATACCCTATATGATCAAGAAATATCTGCAACATTCCACCCGTCAACATGCTCAGAAAGAGATTGGAATGATTTAAACAAGCAAAAATAATTTGCGACTCTCCATAATACATATGTACTTCAAATAATTTAGTTATCCGACCCCGCATGTATAGGAAATGCGTGTATGCAGATGATTGAATTCTTTTTTAAAAGACGGGCAAAAGCCTTCCTCATTCTTTTCACATTTGTAATGTGATTTTTTTATCGGAAAGCATGAATCGAACTCACCGAGTCAGTCAGTGGTCAGTCTTTCAGAAAGTATCTCATTATAAAATGGTTGAACGACGACAAAATATTTTCTGTTTGAACTGACTGAAATCGTTGTATATATGATATTTTCGCTTTGAGACATCAGCTCCGAATCATTATAAATGGACGATTGAAATAAATGCAAGATTGGTGTTTGAGCGAAACTCACTCAAAAATCACACGGTTGCTAAAACAAAAGCCATACGGAAATTCCAAGCAGTGATGTATATTAATATCAGCAAAATTTAGGACAAATCAACAGGTCTCAGAGATAATTTGATGAACAGTATAAATGTATGAGCTCTCTGAGACACATCTTTTATGTGTTATTACTGCAAAACAGAAAGCTATGAATCCGTTAGAACAAAAGACATCAACTTTTCAGTATGCTCAAAACTGATGAAGTCGCTAGAAGTCTATTACTGTCCGATATTTGACCCAAATTGTTGCTGGATTTTATAACATTTGATATCGATAGAATTCTTTTAACAACTGGTCCGAATTTTGCTGACGCTATGATCAACTTAGTGATTTGCCCGTTGTTTCCGTGTTTTTGAACATTACTCTCTTTTGTTATTTATAGTCTTTAATAATTATGATATTTTACTTGAATTAAAAACTTATCGTTGTTGTTATTATTAATCCTATTGCATACAATGTTTCCTCTTCAACTATATAATTAAACGATTTGGATCGATGCATGTCTTGCTAGCGCACTAGTTCCACTTTGAGAGAGGCTTATTAGTTATTACGCGCCAGCAAAATGGGAATTTTAATATTGTTTGCATAAAAACAATAATCTTTGGTATCTCTGAAAAATTCGGAAGAAAAAACTTAGTGTTCTATATGTTTATACGAATACTTTGAGAGCTACGAAGAAAAACAGCTATATATTACGCATTACTCATTAATTTATTGGAAATACACATACGGCAATAATATAGAAAATTAAAATATTCCTTAAATGTAAGGTAAATGTAATTTCGTTGCTTTCACCGGAGGCAATCAAGCCTGTTGTAAAATTTATTTGCGGTATCAAAAATTGCCTTCGTGTCACACTTTAGCGTAAATAAGCCATAACAGGAATTTTCTATTCTTGTTCGCACGAAGCCTTCAGTGGGTAGTTCTAAAACGAGTAAACAGAAACAGTGGACCATCGAGCGAGCCATGTGAAAGTCAGCAATTTAGACGAAACGTTTGAGAATGGTGTACAACACTTGTCGTTTCCAATTGAGACTACACATATTAATATGCTTGATTTTCAGTGCGTTTAAAAATAAAATACCAATCATAATTTTTTTGTTAGAATACCACAGCAACAACTGATGCTTTCAGTGCGGAATGTTTAGTACAAAGTGTGCGTTTTTAAATTGTTTCTCAACAGTTCGCTATTAGCCAGAAATCCAGAGTAAAGAGCAAAAATCGTTTCAAAATCGGCAATCGTGGATCATGGGACAGAACGCGCTTATTCCGCACTCCTATTTCAACATAATTATGTATTGTCTTAGTGCAAGTTCACATTGTTACGTATAATTTTAAAATAACTCCGAAGTGACGTATTATTTTCTAACACTGACTCTCAATCGATTATAAATTCACTCTGGTTCTATTGGGCACAATACAATTGCTATTTTATTTTCATGCAGACTGATCATTCCCATTCCGCCAGTTCGCAGATACGAATCTCATCCGAGGATAATTATGCGCGATAGGATTGCTGGACTGGAAACCGGACGAAAGGGCGTGTTTCGCCATGTGATTATGTCGTTATTTCTCTTTCCCCTCCCCGGTAAAAATATATAGATCTTATCCTAACAGCAGTTTTTTGAATTTTATTTTAGTACAATCTGATAAAATGCGGCAGTTTATAGTTCACATCATATTTGGCATCATCATGCAATATAACACCTCTGCAGAAGAGCTTGGCTTTTGCGAGGTAGTCTCTACCTGTCTTGCAGCTCAAAAAACAATTGTTGTAGAGTCAAAGGATTCTCTGAACAACCAAGACAACTCTGTATTTGTAGATTACGAACTTATTAACGCTAAAATCTATGAACAAATTACAGGTAAGTTGATCGCGTACTTCTTAAGTTACACGTACCTTCGATTGAGTTTTCAATGTATATTGGTTGTGAACCTCGTTATTTGGTATTTTATGAGTGGATTTTTATTAATTTTAAAAGCATTGGCATGAGGAATATGAATGTATAAATATAAAACATTGAAATATGTTTGTCTATTCATATTAAAATTTATTTTTATTTTTTTCTTACAGAAGCTGAAAAGCGATTGGATGTAAAACTATCCCAACTAGAAGCTAAACTTACTCAGTTGAAAGGTTGCACTGTTATTTGTTTCGTGTTCTAGAAACGTAACAATTTAAAATACCCTAATCGATGCATATGTATATTGAAATCTCCTATATTCTGAACACAAAGAAAAGATTTCAAGAAGTATATGCACACATGATGCACAAATTACCTTCGAGAAGAATTTAAATATAGCAAGAATAAAACAGTCCCAAGACCGTATCGTACATAATATGATATCAACTATTGGTATGTTGTAATTGCAATCTTGAAAATGTTGTCCCCTTTCCCATTTCTCTACAATACAACACAAAGATATATTTATACTAATTTTCTATGACCCTCTAAATACAATGAATTAAATCTTTATTGTTCAGATGAAAGCCTCCCTAGGAGCTGTCGGGATATTCAAACTTCAAATTTAGAATCTTCCAACGAAAATGTTTATAACATTTCTCTTGCGGCATTGCCTCGAAGCACTGATGTCTCTTGTGATCAAACCACAGACGCAGGCGGGTGGATTGTGAGTGACATTTTAGATGAAAACATATGATTAAACCAGTATTTCATGAAAACGTTTTTATTTCTGGCCCTCTCGTGACATTTTCTATCGCTTGAAGCCACTTTTGTGGGTGCGAGTTTGTTGAAGGTTCAAGTTAAAGCGTGGTAGATTTTCTTTGGGCACGTGTTGGTTTATGCTGGGAAACTGTACGAAACTATCGGTATAACTGGTATAACCGGTCTCGTGTATTTTTGTGTCTGATTAATCGTTCCAGTCACAATGTAGTATCGACAGTCGTAACATGATAAACAATTTAATCATATCGAACATAATGTATATTCAACTATATTGCTTTTATAAAAGGCTAAATGTTCGGAATTCTATTTTTACAAAGGCTTCATGTAAATGAATATAATTCTGACGAGTACATTTTTTATTCGCAGGTTTTCCAACGAAGAGTAGATGGCTCAGAAGATTTTTATCGGAATTGGGATGATTACGTTGAAGGTTTTGGCAACAAAGACAAAGAATTTTGGCTTGGTAAGGTCATATATGTGGGAATACATTCAAACCTAAACAGTTCTGTGTCTTATTGACTTCGCGATATTGCGTAAATAAACTTTTGAAATGCTCTATATAAAAATTTAACAAAATGGAATATCACGTATGAATTAATCAAACGGTGTTCAATTAACAAGATAACATATATTTTACCTTTTATCTAAAATCTCAATTTCGTTTTTCAGGTTTAGAAAATATCCATAACATTGTGGAACGCGGAACTCATGAGCTCAGAATCGACATGGAAGACTGGGAAGGCAACAAAGCATATGCAAAATATGGGTAAAAACAGTTTTTGGTATTTATATAAACGATGTCTCAAAAATACCGTTTCCCACTAGTGTCAGCTCACAACTGAAGTGTCATTTCAAAACAATGAATTCATGAAAAGAATCTTTATAAAATAACTGATGAATGATCAAACCTTGATGTAAGATATAACTATGTTATAAGTCTGGTTGTTTTCCAACTTATATCAGAAAACTTTCAGTGCATATCCCATATCCTTCGAAAATAATACAATCGTAAATTCGCCACCGAAGCTTCTCCAACTATTTTCCATAAGCGGAACAATATTGCTTCTTGTAATCCTGCCAATGCGGCGAATATACCGCACCCATCTGATGGACTGATCGTCCAATAGGCGATCTACTACGCTAGAGCCATTCCTATCAATAAAAAAGTACTCTTAGAGATTTCTACTTTTTGTCGAAATTGTGCTTAGATGTTAGAACCGCGGGTGTCGTTGCCTACGTCTTACGTTTATCCTTTCCTTCCCAGTAATATTTCGTGTTCACCATTTCCCCGAAATTTAGTATGCGATAGTTTGTCACTGGCTGACCAGAATTTTACTGGCTGCTTATTCTGTGTGGCTTCGTTAAAGTCATGACACAGCCAAACTTTGGATTTCGATATCTGATTGAATAAAAATACATTCTAATGCAATTGGCGAGTTATATATAATTGTTTATTCTTGTTAGTTGTTAGTGAAATATTCATTAAAATAAATAACCTAATTTCGTGCAACAGACAGTATTTTTGTAGTTATTGAGAGACAATTATGGGTATTTTATAAGGTCTAAAAAATATCCATCGAATTGTGAAACGTGAACAATATGAGCTCAGAATCGACATGTTAAATTGGGAACGCAACACAGCATACGCAAATGAGTAAGAAAAGATTAGTGAAATAATCTATGGCAGAAACACCAACAAACATCATAAGCGTTCTTACCGATTAGCGTGGTTCCTAATGTTAATCAAATATATTAAAACATCTATTTGTTTTGTACATCTGAGTCTGCATTTTCATGAATGATCATTCAAATCAAAAAAAAATACAAATTAAGTCTAGTATCGCCAATAATTATACATTCGGATGTGTCATTTACGCACTTTTAAAAATTGATAGTTTAAAAAAAATACATAGGTGAAAACAATTCTACTAAAATTCAGAGAGACGATATGTTGTTATGTATATTCTACATTCTCGCTAGACCAATAAAATGAACGCAACTTCATCTCTATATTTATGCGCTGTTCTATGGGTTATTTCAATATTTCATGTTAAATTTTCAGCTCTTTTTACGTCGGAGATTTATCAAGCAACTATCGTTTAACTCTCGGGGAATATAGTGGAAACGCAGGTGATGCACTTGGTAATGTGCAGCATCGAAATATGCCTTTCACGACCAAAGATGCTGATCATGACACACACAAATGGGGAAACTGCGCCCAACTGTTTCATGGAGCATTTTGGTACGGAACCTGTCACAGCACAAACTTGAACGGACTTTACATTCATGGTGGAAACAATACACGACGTGGTGTTGGTGTAACTTGGTATCAATGGAGAGGCAATTTTTACTCTTTGAAGTTTGCTGAAATGAAAATGAGAGAGAAGATCTAACACAGAATCGTACAATAAACACGAATTTAACTGAACTTTTTTTCAAATTTAGTTTTGAAATATTTCATATCAACTAATCTTGAATCTGATTTAGAAATATCAATTTACCCAATATGTAACATCAAGTAATTATTATTCATTCGATTTTGATTTTCAAATGTAAATATAAATTCAATATACCATAAAATAAAATTTTTTTTTGGGCATAAAAACAGTACAGAGTGAGGTGTCAAATTAGTATTAAGAAAACCATACTTCGTGCTGTCTTTGACTGTAAGGTAAAAGGACTCGAATCTTTATTGTTCGAACCACTCTAGCACCAAAACGCACATTCACTGGGCAACAATCTACCATCTGAAACAAGATACCATTCTATATTCCTATGGGATTCAAATTATATTTGTATGCATGAATATTTATACCGTATTTAAATATATTTTAGCAACTTCCGGGGTATTTTTCGTGTAAATGAATGCCGAGTTTTATATTAATAGGGTTTTCCTTTTGACGGGAGTAACTCTATGTAGTCATTCCATACGAAGCTAATGAGGAATATTTGATTGAATACATGCCCACAACAAAGGGGTACACATACATGGACTCCATTCAGGAACCTTATAAAAACGAAATACTCTAATTTTGCTAGCATTTCTAATATTTTTATGCGAAAGTGGAAAAATCTTCGATTACGACCTGCGTAAACAAGCATCAATAATTCAAAACTAAGTTGGTTATCAAACTCAAAAATCGAGAATCACAAACAGTTGAAGAACCTTGTGTTAATTATAGAACAAGAGAATTAACCTTTTCTGAGATAAGAGATTTTAAAAATTTCTTGGCTTTTCAAGAGTGAGTGAGCCTTATGGACAAAAATACTGGTAAAAGATACCAAACCGCGTGGGCCAGAAAATTGGTATATCCTTTTGTATGTCGAAATAATTGGGTAATCAGACGATTTGGTCTGATTTAAAAAATTGTATATTTATCTGTGAAGTTTCGTAAATAAAATTCTTAAAACGTATTATCTGTCTATTCTAGATTTTCACAATTTTGTACTGATACAAAAAATCACAAAAATATTTGGGTAAACAAATCAACAATTGAAAAACTCGGTCGTCACCGCGTGTGGCCGACCTAACATTGACACCCGTCGCTAATTAAATGAGACAAGAAACTAGCACGATGCTTTTCAAAAGCGCAACCAGAACCTTGATGGTTTTGTAATATTCAACGTATATTTTTATGCTAGATCCCGAAAGCATAATATTTTCGACATGCTTTCGAGAGACTTAAACTGATATAAACTGAAACAATTGAGGACGGATAGAAGCGTCTTTTAAATACAAATCTTTAAACGTAAAAATCGTACATTAGTTATTCAACTCAACCTGTGAATATTGTCAAGAAAGAATATTTTGCTTTTTATTATGAGTTGAGGTCATTAGGTTGTAGTCTTATCAGAGTTGTCAGCTGAGTCTCCGCTGAAATGAATGACGCGCCTGGTTTTCACAAATAAATGTTTTAGTATTCAGTTAGATTTGAGTTCAATCTAACTATCAATCATCATAACTTAGTTCTATTTGATGGTTATGGAAGCTTTTAAATCAGGGGTCGGCAACCTACTGCGCGCGGGCCAGATCCGGCCCGCGGAGTAATATAATCCGGCCCGCGACGCTTTACTGAATTATAGAAACAAAACAGCTGTTTTGACGATTATAATCTTTACGTAACAGAATTTATTGCGAGAATCTAACAAGATTAAAATTGACAATTACTCGTTTAATGAACCTATAATTTAATTATAATTTGACAAATGCAGAAAAGTTGATGCTAAGTGCAAAGGGTTCAATGGTGCCGGAAGGATTCAAATGTAATTTTTTGAGATGCAATGCAATATTTCCCTGCTTGATTTTTATTATAAAAAGTATCACCCGTTGGGTTTTCAACTTTCTAAAAATATGTACAGCACGCCAATGACTTGCAACCCTTAGTTTTGGCCAGCGAGCGACAAAAGGTTGTCGACCCCTGCTTTAAAATCAATCAATTATGTGCATCTTCAAGACTCGGTTCATTTACTTCCCATTTACAAACGCTACATTTTGTCAATACTGTCTTAATGTTTTAACATTGTCAACGGATCATGACCCAGATATATGTCTGTCGCCAACAAGATACGTTTGTTTAAATTTATACAACTATCTTAAAAAGTTGTCTTTAAACGATTTACACCTCACCCGTATCGAGAATACCATTGATAGACATACAAACACGGCATACTATTATATATATATACTATTATATTATTTATACTATTTCAATATATAGCACATCCGATACAATGGATAAAATACTGGTTAATTCACTTGATATGTGATCTGCAATGCCGGTAACATTGCAAAACGAGCATTGCTTGTAAGCTGCTGTTTACACTCTACTATCTCAAAATGAAGCAAAAGTGCAAAAATGTCCCGCATATCTCAAATATGCAAGCAAACCTGATCTCATTATTTTCTCTTTATTATGCGATACGCCATGATGTTTTAAGTTCGGGATTAAATTATCGTTCGTGATCAAAATGTGCCAATATGGCCAAATTTTATGTTAGAAAGTCTTTGTTATTGTACACAGCAAATGCTGCACGCATTTAACGCGAATTTAGAAAAACTTACTCAATTATTATTCTTACCCATAGCTCTTATTGCTGCGTCAGAATTTCCGTTCATTTCACAAGTATGAGAGGTATGAAGTTAGGACCCTGACAAATAGCGACAATTGAATTAAAATTATTAAAATAAAACATCACACATTTTTATTGTCTGAATCTGTAAGTCATATAACAACATATATGATAAATCTTAGAAATTAAATATTACTTATATTTACTTATATATATATATTTATTAAATATTACTTATATTCCAATAAGGAAAAACGTTACTAATGCGGAAGCCTTTCAAAAATTTGTTCATACCGTCTTCTTTTCTGCTCATGTGATAATTCCCATTTTTATTCCAGTTTACGTGGACTAGAAACTCCACATCTCTATAGAAATAATAACGGCAGTTAATTTTGTATTGTTAATATACGCTTCGAAAAGTCACAGGTATCGATGACTGGTGATGGAGTTGTGATCCGCCACATTCTGCGAAGTTTTCGGTTTTTATTACGCTCGTTTCTCGTTCTGACGGCGGTGATCGGGTACTGTAGTAAAATATTTACTAAATGTCTGGTAAAATAGAAGGTATAAGATAATTAGATACTGTAACTCTACCGGATACGATAATAATATAAAACGCAAAAATCACTGAAGAAGTTTTTTGGACTAGCAAATCGCAAAGTCAATTATTGGACACGAAATGGACATACAGATCGCTTTGTTATAATGTTGTTGTTGTCAACTGGACCCAATGTTATTAGATTTTTAGTGGTTGAAGATTGTTTTTTCGTTAGAACGCTATTACTTTTATTTATTTCGAAAATTTCTGTGAGCTTTAAGGAATTCGTTTTTTTTTGTGTATGCGATGACGTCTTCAAAATTAGAAATTGTGCACCTTGTGGCGGTTTCGCGTCAGCCACCTGTTGGGCGAGTGATACCGGTTGAGTACCGTGACAGATTGCATACCCGGACTACATCGTCTTGGACCTCGTGTGCATACATTTGCATCACTTTCTTGTTTTTATCTGTTTTGTTTAAAATAGCCGATTCTCTATTACATATCTACGTAAATACAAGAAAAGTGGATGTAAAAATTTGCCTAATAGATTCTTAATGTCAATATACTATTCCCAGGGTGACAGCACATTTGAACCAACGTATATTTGAACCCATACATTTGCACCTGTATATCCGCGGGTTCAATCTATATGAGGGTGCTAAAATCCATGGGGAATTGAGTCCTGGGGAACTCCGAAAGAGATATCCCCGAAAGACGTATAACCGGGAGCACTGACCAAAAAAAGCGAATCGGATAGGATCGAAATTTGTGCTGCAAGAGTGCGGCGTGCCAAGCTTCTGAAATATGCTAGGTAGTTAATTAAGCTTCACCGCTTAGATTCAAGTCTCGGTATATTGTGTCTATACGCTCCAGGAAACCCTTATTCTCCCCCGTTCTGTGTGTCTATCTGTAACGTCTAAACTGCAGGACCGATTTGGATGAAGTTTGTTATGTGAGTTATCTTAGCACCCTACTAATGTACATTTCATCAAAAGAGGCCCCAGGTCCGAGTGGTTCGTCATGTAGTTATTGAGAAATGAGTTCCAACAATACCAACAACATGATAACAAAACGATCTGTACGTCGACTTCGTATATACAAAAATTCACTTTAGAATGAATCCCTAAACGCACAAAAACAGTGAAAAACCGTAAGTCCAACAAACTTCTGCAGTGAGGTTTACTTTTTATATTACTTTCTACAATATAAAACTTTTTCCTTCTATCAGGCACTTGGTAAACACTTAGCAACAGTACACCACCAGTCCATTGACAAACGGTGCGTCTGCTCTCGTTCTACACCAGTGCTCTTCAACCTTTTTGTTATTGTGGAACCCCTTAAATATTTTTTCGTTTTTTATGGAACCCCAATTAACAAAATTAAAACTTTCATTTTAACTTTGGCAATTGAATTACATTTGGTTCGCTTCGGAGGAGGAGCAGGTGCCGCTTTTGCATTTGAACTACTTCGCTCATTGCAGTTCTGACTCCTGACCTTCACCGTTGTTAATCTTCCGCCTCACATAAGAAAATATACTATTTTGCTTCATTTGTATTGACTTAATATTAAAAAGTTGGGTTTCACACTATTTTTACTATAATCCAACAAAAGCTGAACAACAACTCTAGTTTGTACTTTGTAGTATATCCTCTCTCTAGTCTCGAGCAATATCTACATACTTTGAACATCATGTCACTATGGTGCAACAAAAACGTTCTTGTTAGTTGCATAACAATAACAATGACTAAAGTGCACAATAACCGAAAATATTTCTGTTTTGTCTTTTAACTGCGCTGTGCCTAAACCTCCTGTTTAACGAACTGGCCTACTTGGAGTTTGAATGAGACACGGAGGTCTAAGAATATTTATAATGACGCATCAACATACTGAAGCAAGAAATGGTTTCCCTTGAAACAAAACAAAAAACGCGGAACCGCTGAGGAACCCTATAAACTCCCGGAACCCCACTGCATGTATT